TGTTGTTGTTCATGTTGTCAGTTATTGTTGAGTATGTGATTAAGTTTGATTGTTGTTCATGTTGATGATAATTTAGTGGTTATAATAGAAAGCGGGTGGAGAAATGGGAGAGGAAGAGAGAGAGAGAGAGAGAGAGAGAGAGAGAGAGAGAGAAAAAGTTTTCTTTTGTTGGTTTATTTGTTTTTTCATCGATATTATTACTTACATGTTGATTCAAGATTCGCACATTCGCACTAAAACAATACTGTAAATATTATTACTAATATTCCTCAAGTTTATTGTAATGGTGATAATTAAGGTGTGGGCGATGATGATGATGTTGATTGAGTTTTCTGATGGTGAAGATGATGATCATTTTGTTAATAATAATTTACTATTTCGTTTGGACGATTGAATGTGACGGTCGATGAGTTTCACATTAAGTACTGGATTAAAAATTGATGAACCAATACCTGATGTAATACTCATAGACCAAATCACACTTTGATCATTTCATTAATCGTTGAGGAAAATAATTAACTTCAAGTTTGGAAGTAATTAAGACAATGATGATTATTATGATGAGAGATTTGAGTGAGTGAGAAAGATATGATTATGATAAAGATGAAGAGAGAGAGAGAGAGATGGAAAAGAGTAAAAAAAGAAATGATAATAATAATGAACGAGGAAAACGAAGACTAGTCTTTTAGTTTATATAACATGGAAAATATCAAAGATGAAAAAGCCACTTACTCAGTATTTATACTAACTCACTCACTCTCTCTCTCTCTCTCACCACCTCTCTTATCATCTTCATCTTCTTCTTCTTCATCATCATCTTCTTCTCTCCCTCTATTAGTCTGCAGAAAAAAAACCGTATAACCACAGTGAGGGTGTTTCATAGTGAGCAAGGAGGCGGAGGAGGAGGAGATGGGGAAAAGTTTCCAGTCAGTGGATTATTTTTTCTTATGATATTTCAAACCAATCGATGCAACTCAGTAAAACGGTAGACATTTCATTAACCAAGGTGGGATCCGAGGCGGTACTCACATGCTACAGTCTTGCTTTTTTTCTGCCTCATCATCATCATCATCTTTCCCTTCTTAATATTCACTCACTCTTCCGCAGAGATATGATACAACGTGTATGCATAGACACACACACACACACACAACACTCACACAATACTCACAGACTATTTGTGAACATCAACAATTAATGTTGGTTGAAAACAAAAGTTTCACTTGGAATTTTCAAAATAACAATCATAATGTTCATTCATCATCTAAATCATCAAAATTTTACCTACGATGATTGTTGTTTTTTTTTCTCTTCTCCTCAACAACTACAGTATATCAGCCATCTCATCATCATCATCATCGCCATTTTCTTTATCCCTCTTATCTTCCTATCATTTTTTTCACCTTTAATCTTTTCAAACCACAGTTTCTACAATTACAGGTAACATACTAAGCAACATGATCAATGTTATCAGAGATTATCAAGTAACATTTTCACTTTAAGAGGAGAGAGAAAGAGAGAGTCAACATTTCATCTTTTCTGATGTATATTATGAGAAATGTAATTTCAATAATCAATCAAGTAAATTCATGATCATTGAGTTACTATAAATGACCAGAATTTGTGCAGAAAATAAGTTTGTAACTGAATAAATTGACTTTGCAAATGCTTCGAGATTGAAGTTACCTGTGTTTATGATGATGATTAATCAAGATATGATGGTGATAAGATGATTACTGTGAATCGTAATAATAAACATGCTATTTGCTTATTATTATTGTTTCACCTTCTTGCTCTTTTATCTAATCATTTCTCCCATGTTAATATCTTTGAAATGTTTTCCATTTTACCTCATTTATTGCTACCTTGATATACCTTGAGTGGGTTATATTACTACTTTTCTTGTTTACAAGGTAAGTTGATATTAATTATCATGGTCGTTTTTTTGTGATGCGACAAAAAAAATAGTGACTTTACAATCTTGAAGCACAACACAAATGATTATGATTAGTTTGATTGAGAATTTTAATCCATTTTCATCTTCATCATCATCTTCATCTTACAGGTTTCACCTAGAAAACTTTTCTTGTTTCTCTCAGGTTGTGAACTATATTAATATTACACAGAGAGAGAAACAGCTTATCAGTTTGGATCAACAAAAAAATAGAGATGAAGACAGACGAAAAGAGAATAGAACATTTTGGAGAGAGAGAGAGAGATGATAAGAAAATATCACTAATGATATTAGTCGCTCGATAAACAAGCAAGGTAACAGTATTAAGTGAATTATTTTATTTTTCTCTCTCCATCCTCATCATTTATCCTCTTTCATCTTATCAGTATCACCATTAATAGTAAATGTATTATTATTACCATAGGCATATGTTTCTTGTTGACAAGAGAGAGAGAGAGAGAAAGGTGAAAGTATCAATTTGAATTGTGGGTCCATGCAAACAACATTTTTCAATTTGATGATAATAAACCGGCAAAAATACATCACCATCATCATCATTATTATTATCACAATAATCACCATCATTACAATTATCTTGCTACCCATTAGTTAATTAATGAGAGAGAGCAGCGGTTTCTTAACAGTATCATTGATTTTTACGTTATCACCTTAATACCTTTTTCATGATAATCTTTTAATCTTTCATCTTGAATCAGAGAGAATAAATTGTATTGAGAGAGAAAAGTTAAACTTACGTTCTTGTTTCAAGTTTTGAATAATTTCCTCCTTTTTGTCGATATTTTCTGTCAATCTTGTTGCAGCTTCAAGAGCTTGAGCTGATTCCATAGACTTTTTTTCATACATCTCAACTTCCTGTCGTAAATCATTTTGTATCATTCGCTCTGACTCTAGGGCTGCGAGATGTTGCCTGGTTAAAGAAGAGACTTTTTTTTCATTCTCTGTAAAAGAGAGAGAGAGAGAGAGAACAAAGTTAGTAGATGTTGGCTAATAGATTGATGTACATGTAGAAGTAGTTGTGTGAACATCAACAGCGAAAATGGAACAAAACTAAAATTAATGACAAGGCAATTAAAAGAAAAAAGAACATGAAAAAAATACGTTTTCCTTTTTTTTTCTTTTCTCTCTGTTGTTTTATATTCTTTTCTCAATTTATCTGGTAAATTTGCGTGAATGTTTTTCCATCGATGGAGCTGATACTCGTCTCTCTGCATGTTCGTGGCTAATTAAAAACGTAACACAGTCTAGATTAAATTACAGTGTTTTCCAATTCACTTAGGGGTTAATATGCATCCATGGTTCCAACCATAAGCATTAAACCATTTTTCAAGTTTCTTTCTCTTTTTTGTTTGGTATCAAACCAAATTTTGAGAAAATGATCAAACTGATCTCAGGTCACATTTCGTTTAGTGCAAGTGATATTTTTGCTCACCTTTGAAAGGTATAATAAACCTTCAGAAAGGCTAAAGGTTAGGATGAGTAGCAATAAGAAAATGGGTAAACTTAGAGTCTCAATTCTGGTGAGAGAGATTAGTAGCTTGTTGATGTGGCATAACTAATGGTCAGTTTGTAAAATTAAAATGTTCTTGAGGTTAGAGAGTAAGAACAGTGAAATATTAGTTACTTGAAAAGTGACCAATCAATTCACCTTGTAAATGAATTTGATAAAATTTTACCAATTTCGGTTCTACAAGATGAAGAATCGGCTTTTCGAGCTGATATAAATACGTCCAATTTACTAATTGAACATTTTACATGTGAAGAAATGAAAGAAAAAAAACTGTCGCTTATTTGATTAGTTGACACTTTAGATAGAAGAGCCGATCAATTAATGTCATTGACATTCTAACTTTTCCGTTGTTTTTTTATGTGTAATTAGAATGTTGTTCATTTTTTTCATCCTGTAACCATTTCAATCGTTTTCTTGATGATGTCCACACATTTGGTATCATTAAAGGTTCGACTTATTTACCTTTTTGTATCTGTTCAATTACGAGCTGTAAATTTGTAACCGATGCTGTTAACCGATGGACCTTGTCATCTAATTTGGAGACATCATCTAGAGCTGCATCTCGTTCAGATTTTAACTGTTCCATTCGTTCAGACCAATTGGTTGGTTGATCAACTTCTCTGATACAATTTTTCAATTGTCCGATAGTTTCAAGAGCTTGATTCAATTCGTTCCTGGCTTTTGATTCTCGATCTTCAAGTTCCAATATTTCACTTGTATAATCATCTTCAACAGTAATTAGGCGTTCTTTTAATCTTTTCAGTTCATCGGTTAACCTTTTCTGTTCTGAGATTAATTTTTCATAAGATGACTTGTCAATAGTAACCGTTTCTACGATATTGGGAATAGAATCATTATCAGGCTTTGAATTTTCAATACCAGGGATACTATTGTTTCTTTTTTCATCAGTAAATTGAGTAATTTCTCTTGGTAATTCCATGGTTTCGTTTTCTATTCCATCGTCCTTGCTTAAATCAGTCTCCATTTCACTTGTCTCATAAGATAAATCTTTCTCTGTCTCAAGGTTTTCTTCTGTTTTCAATTCATTATCATAATTGGCATCATCTCCAGCGACACCATCATCACCACTTCCCTCGTTGGTATCACCACTTTTTTCACCAGCACCACCATAATCTTCAACTTCTATTCCACCAGAATCACTGAGAATTACTTCTGATTGCATGTTCACTTGGTCTACATCACCGGTTTCATTGGCCATCGAAGCTTCCGTTAAATTATATCTTCTATCTTTAAGGTTACAGATATTGCAAGAGTTCGTGTACCCGGTGGTTCAACGAATAAACAAAATAAAATACAAAATAATTAAAAAACAATCACAGAATAATTAATTAAATGAAAGTAGAGATGAGACAAAATCTCAATTAAAATTGACACTCATCAGCTGATCGCACAACCTGAAGCTCCATCTACCGGATAACTTTAAATCCACGAACAAATTGTTAATCGTAATCGAGAGGTTAAAGTCGTGGCCCTTAGCCCCCGATGCCACGGGTTCAATTTCGAGCTGGTCTTTCATCTAGTCCCACAAAATTGAAACTAAAACCTTAATTGTTGAAAACTCTGATAATTAGCATTAATATGAAGCTTGCAATATCCTCTTGTAAACTGAACGGTTAGTTTAGTGGTTAAATTTAATACATTTAAGTTTATCCATATTATTAGGGAAACAATTAATTTCTATTATTATTTTTGTCACGTTAATTAGTTGAACATTAAATTAATCATTTGTTGAAGTGATTAAGTTGTAATTTTTTAAAGTTCGCTGTTAGTTTCATTACTTTTTGTTTGGTTGGATTTGATTGTCAATTTGGAGCTGAAATGATAACAATGAAATTGTTTGATAATCAAATTGATTGTCAATGTTAAGCAGCCATCTAATCATAATTGTTCAGCCGTTTTGTTACACAATTAATTGGTAACAAAAAGAAGCCCGAAAAAAAGTTTATCGTCTTAGAAAATTTAATCTGATACAAAAAGTATTGAAAGGTTTCCATATACATATCGACCTGATTATTTTGTGTTCGAATTATTTTTTCAAATTGATTGTTAATTATATCACTATCAACAGCTTCAGAATTGCATGTTGAGATTTTCGCAAATTTTTTTATCAATGAATGAGCGATGGAACAATAATCACACTAGTCCATTCAGTTATTGAGAGAGTGTCCGTCTATTCATTTTAGTTAAGAATTTGTATTTTATTTAATTACCATAATAGTGATGGAATGAAATGGATACTAGTAAATTTCGGTAATTAGTTTAATTAAGTTGATCATAGAAACATATTTATATCAATATTTGAAGAATATCAATTGTAAATTTGTCACATTTGCTAATTGAAAGGTCAGAGAATTGGAAAGATAAAAGATTAGAATGGATTAAGATGATAACTGAATTTATCTTGACCACCCACTCGATAAAGTTGTAACCATAAATGGAATTAGAGTCAATCTTTTATCATCTTTCTTTCTCTTTCTCTTTCTCGTTTATCTTTTCTGACTTTTCCCGTTTTCTAAATACAAATTTACCTGGAAAACAGGTAAACAGGACTGGATCAACAACCCACGATCTAAACATCTCAATGTATCTGAATAATCAACGTTATTCTGGACCAATAATAATAAGAAGAAGAATAAGAAAAAGAGAAAAAGAGAAAAGTTTTCTTGATATAATACATGTATTAATCGTCTATTTTAATCCACCACATGGATAATAAAAAGTGATAATTATGGTTAATCCATTGTTCATATGTGTGATTGTGATAAGTTTCCAATTAAATTCAGGACAAATTATTTCTTCTTCTCGATCAGATCTTCCAATTGATTCAAGTAAGTAACAGTTGACCAGTTGACCAGTTTAAATGCTTATTTTCTCAATTGATCCGTTAATTATTAATTAACTGATCGATAACAATTGACTATTAGGTGACATTGAAGCTTTTTATCCCGAGACTTTTGATCTCGCTAAAGGATCAATAATAACTGTCAACTCGACCTGTGGTCAAGTTGGTCCAGAGCCTTATTGTTATCCCTCATTGACTCGAGACAATGAATGTGGTGTTTGTGATGCGACCAGTCTAAATCCCGATAGACGACATCCGATATCAAATGTTATCGATGGTACAAGTTCGTGGTGGCAAAGTCCAACTCTACAGAAAAGTGATAAATATGAATGGGTAACAATTACTGTTGATTTAAAGCAAGTCTTTCAAATCCATTTGGTCAAAATTAAGGCTGGACGATCACCTTTACCCGGAAATTGGATAATCGAAAGGTCAATTGATGGAGTTGAATATAAACCTTGGCAGTTTTTCGCAATAAGTAACACTGATTGTTGGCGTTTCTTTAGCACTAAACCAATTGCATCTCATCCTCCTCATTACCGATCAGATGATGAAGTTATTTGTACTTCATATTATTCAACATTGAGACAACTTCAATATGGAGAAGTAAATTGGTCAATTTCTTTATCTTTCTTTCTCATAATCTCTATTAATCTCTCAATCTCTCAATCTCTAATCTTGTATCTCTAAATAGGTGAATCTTTCATTGAGTGAAGGTCGACCAGGAGCTAATCTCTTTCAGAGACATTGAAACAGTTTATGAAGGCTCGATTCATACGATTACGATTACAAAAGGTTTCGGTTCCATGGGATGAGAAGAATTTGTTTTCATATTCAGATCGATTCAATTTAACATCGGCTAATCAGGTAAGAGCTTTGTGTCTACAATACTTTAGATTCTAATGATTTTATGATTTGATTTTCTATTGATTCTCAGCTTTATTATACTTTACAAAATATTGAGATTATTGGTCAATGTATTTGTAATGGTCACGCAAGAGCTTGTCCAGTGGATCGAGCAACTTTACTTCGTAAATGTGATTGTCTTCATAATACTTGTGGCGATAATTGTGAAAAGTGTTGTCCATTATTCAATCAACGACCATATCGTCAGGCAACCAAACGAAATATCGCAATTTGTGAAGGTAAGAAAAGAAAAGAAGGAAGAAGAGAGAAGAGAGAAGAGCGAAAAAAAGAAAAGAAAGAAAAAAGAGAGAAAACAATCAACTAATTTCTAATTGTTTCTTCTCATGTTCCAAAAGCTTGTCAATGTCATGGACATTCAAGTGAATGTATTTACGATAAAAATGTCGATTCTCGTAATGGAAGTGTCAATGTTCATGGCCTTAGATCGGGCGGAGGTGTTTGTATAAATTGTCAATCTCATACAACGGGAAACAATTGTGATCAATGTGAAGATGGATATTTCCGTCCAGGTAAAGGATTGAGTTCCTCAAGTAGCTCGATTAATAATGAGACTGCCCCATGTCGACCATGTCAATGTCGAGGTCGAGGAACTACCGAATATTGTATAAAGGACAGTAGCCATGTTCTAACGGGACTGGAAGCGGGTGATTGCATTTGCAAGAAAGGATTCCAAGGTAAATACTGTGACTCTTGTGCTCCAGGTTATCGCAATTATCCAAGGTGTGACTCGTGTCATTGTAACGGAGCGGGAGTCGTAAACCCTGAGGCTTGTGATGGTCCAACGTGTATGCAAGGCCAATGTCGAAGGGAATCGATGTGACCGATGTAAAGCAGGTTACTTTGATCTATCGGCGGACAATCCCGATGGATGTGCCCCGTGTTTCTGTTTCGGTGCGACATCTTCGTGTAAATCCTCCGATTGGGGAGTTGAGGTGATCTCATCTCTCGCTCACCTGGAAGCTTGGAAAGTATCAGATTTCTCTGGCAAGAAAGTGGTCACTCCAACACGAAAATCTGAACACTTGGTGATCGCTGATGACGACATGCAGCCAATGTCTTCACCTTACTATTGGATGGCTCCTGATTCTTACCTTGGTGAGAAACTTTACTCTTACGGGGGTGACCTGAGGTTCATGATTGGATACACGGTGTTGAGAGGAGACACTTCCGGTTACTACACTGAAGATGCGGACATTATTCTGGACGGTGGACCGGAAAATGTGATGAGAATTGGTTACAACTGGAAGAGATATGACAAAAATGAGAACGAGGATAAAGTGACTTTGACTTTACCTTTGCGAGAAAACGGTTGGTACATTTTGGACGGTGATGGACGTCGAGTGAGACCAGTGTCTCGAGAAGAGTTCACTTTGGTTCTGTACAATTTACGGAACATGTTGATTCGAGCCAAGTTCCACACGGACCAGATCGAAGGGTCCATGTACAATGTCGAGATGGAACAAGCATCGAAAGACTCAAAGTCTCTGAACAAACAAACTGGAGCGGAGTCTTGTGATTGTCCCGAGGGTTACATGGGACTATCGTGTTTAGAGTGTGCACCAGGTTACCGAAGGGTGAACAATATTCTGGTCGGAGGTCGATGTGAGAAGTGCAATTGTAACAATCACGCGGAATCTTGTGACCCTTTCACCGGTGAATGTTCAGAGTGTCTACACAACACGGAAGGTACAGGTTGTTCCAAGTGTAAGAAAGGTTATTATGGTGATCCGACTCGTGGAACACCGGAAGACTGTAAGCCGTGTGCATGTCCATTGACCTTGAGTTCGAACAACTTTTCACCGACTTGTGTCCTCACGGAAAAAGGAGACGATTACATTTGCGACGCTTGTATCGAGCCTTATGCTGGAGACAAGTGTGAAATCTGTAAGCAGGGTTATTATGGTGATCCAAGTGTTCCTGGGGGCGAGTGTCTCCCCTGCGAGTGTGGTCCAAATGTGGACACTTCAGTGGTTGGAGGTTGTGATTCACGAACTGGACAATGTCGATGTGCGGCCAATACGACTGGATGGAAGTGCGATCAATGTTTACCTCATCATTGGGGTAATCCAAGTTTGGGTGATTGTAAACCTTGTAACTGTGATTTGTCAGGATCGAATGACCTCAATGTGACCCAAAGACTGGTCAGTGTTCATGTAAGCCCAATTTCACTGGTCGATTGTGTGATCGATGTGCTGTTGGTCATGGGAATCCTGAATTGGGATGTCCAGCATGTAATTGTAATGGAATTGGTTCATCTTCGTCTGATTGTGATCCAATTACTGGTCAGTGTCATTGTAAACCAGGAATATTTGGTCAACACTGTTCCCATTGTCTCGAAGGTTATTATGGATTCTCAGTTCGAGGTTGTCTTCCTTGTGATTGTCATCCAAAAGGATCAGAAGGAAAAAGTTGTGATGAAATAAGTGGTCAATGTAAGTAAATGAAGAAAGAAAGAGAGAAAGAGAGAAAGAGAGAGAGAGAGAAATGATGATGATAATTTAATCTTTTCTCTTCTTGTCTTCTTATCTAAAGGTAAATGTAAACCATTCGTTGAAGGAAGAGCTTGTGATCGATGTCGATCTGGATTCTGGAATCTTGATTCAGGAAAAGGATGTTCACCTTGTGATTGTAATCCAATTGGATCAACATCATCAATTTGTGATCAATTAACTGGACAATGTGAATGTAAACCAGGAATCGGAGGTTCTAAATGTGACTCGTGTAAAAGTGGATTCTATGGATTCTCACCCAGTGGATGTCAAAAGTGTGACCAATGTTACGAAGCGAATCACATTTGTAACCCAGAAACGGGTCGATGTGAATGTCCTCCCAACACTGCGGGTCGAGATTGTCGTGATTGTGCTCCGGGTACTTATGGACTGGACATTGTCGAAGGTTGCAAAGCTTGTGAATGTGATATCCAAGGATCGGTTAATAACCAGTGTCACAATAAAACGGGAGAATGTGTTTGTTTAGAAGGATTCGAAGGCAAAGACTGTTCTAAATGTCGATTTGGATATTATCGATTTCAAATTGTCGTCGATGTGATTGTCATCCACCCGGAAGCTTAGATTCTTCTTGTAAACTTGACCTGAGATCGGTAATTGGACTAAGTGATCCAGAGACTATTTGTCAATGTGATGAGACTGGACAATGTTCGTGCAAAGGGAACACAATGGGACGACGATGTGATCGATGTAAAGACGCGACATTTTCTCTTTCGGCGATGAATCCACTTGGATGTTTCAGTTGCTTTTGTTTCGAGAAAACTTCTCGATGTGAACAATCATCATTAACTTGGACAACAATCACCAGCGCACCGAAAGAAGTGACCTTTGGAATAAGTGGACAATCAGCGGAATTAAAAATGGGCTATAATGTGATTCCTGATTCTTCAGATTCGAAACAAGTGATTGGAAGCAATTACATTTCTGATCAACCTTATTATTGGCAATTACCAAAAGAATTTATTGGAGATAAAGTTAATTTACAATGGTTTTCTCTCATTTCGAATTCAATCTCGTCAAGATTCTCGATTCCCTGATTCGGTTCTCAATCGTTATCCTTTATTCATCATTCAAGGAAACCAAAGACTCGTTTTACATCATTTCGATAAAGAATCGTCTTTATCTCTATCAGCATCATCTTCTTCATCTTCTTCATCTTCTTCGACATCTTATTTGGGTGAATTTTACAAGATTCAACTTCACGAATCGTCTTTTATTCTTGCCGAAAATCCAGGACTTGAAGTAACTCGAAAACATTTGATGATTGCTCTTCAAAAAGTTCAGAATATTCTGATTCGAGCTTCATCTGGACCCGATGTACAATCAGCCCGTTTAACCGACGTGACTCTTGATGTCGCTGAGGATCTGAGAGTTCTGAACTCGGTGCCAGTTAATTTCACCGCCATTGGAGTTGAACAATGTTTCTGTCCACCCCAATATCGAGGTGCATCTTGTCAAGATCCAAATATTGGTTATTATCGGAAAAGGAAACCCAATTATCTTGATTCCCGTGATTACATTGATCTAGTTGGGTGGGCAGAACCTTGTCCGTGTAACAATCGATCTCGAAGTTGTGATCCAGAGACTGGACATTGTTACAATTGTACCGATAACACTGCAGGTCCTTTTTGTAATGTTTGTGCTTCCGGATACTTTGGTGATCCAACCCAAGGGATACCTTGTATTCCTTGTCAATGTCCACTTCCTGGTCACTCGTTTGCTGAGACCTGTGAATCTCGGCCTGGAGGCGATTACGTTTGTTCAGATTGTGCGACAGGTTATACTGGTTCTCGTTGTGAAAAGTGCGATGTCGGATATTATGGTGATCCAATGGCTCGGGAGTTTTGTCTTCCATGTTCATGTTCACCTTATGGATCATTTGGATCAAGTTGTGACCCTCGAACTGGTCAGTGTGCTTGCAAAGAGGGTTTTCGAGGTCGCGATTGTTCAATTTGTTTACCTCGTCATGTGCAAACTGAATCGGGTTGTCTTGATTGCGATGGTCCATGTACTGGATTATTGCTCGATGATTTGGACTCAATTAACGCGACATTGGCCGAATTACCAACCACCGATTGGGGAAATTTGCCTTATACTAAATTCTTGCATTTATTGTCCAAGTACAAGCATTTTCTCAACACTTTGCAACGACAATCGATCCTAATCGACGAAGGTAAAGGAATCCTTTATAATGTGACTTCCAATTTCGACCTGGAAACATTGGTCGATATGCTGTACATTCGAACAGTGAGTTTGGAAGCGAAATTACCGATGATTGTGGAAGAGACCAAATTGATTGGTGACGATGCTGAAAATCTTCTCGATTATATAAATGATCTACTTTACGATTTGAGACGAATTATTGATGCTCTTCGAAAATTTGGAATGGACGATGGAAAAGGAGGATTTTCTTTGGAACGACATCTTTTCCGTGCTGAACAAATTATCGCCGAATTGAATTTGAAAAACTATCGACCTCGACTCGATGAAGCCTCAAGAGAGAATCGATTGTCAAAGACTTTACTTGAGAAGATAATTGGTCTTCTTAGATCACCGAATGTTGATCGAGATTTCCGAAAGAGATTGGATCGATTACAGCAAAGATTATCAGAGATTTTCAACATTGTTCAAACTCGAGTACAAAGACCAGTCCAGTTAACATTGAATCGGATCAATGAAGGACAAAGAATTCGTGATCGAGTGATTGAAGTTCTAAGGATCAGTTCTGGTCATGCATCTCAAGCCAATTCCAGTTTGATTGAAGCTGCTCGACTAATTAATGCTGCTCGTGGAATGTTGATCGATGTGACTGTACGACATGGACTAGTTCCTGGTTTAGAACGGGATCTAAGAAATGCCACATTGGCTTTGGAACACTTGAGGTCAACTTTGTCGAGATTGAACCCCGAATATACGGTCAAATATGTGGAACCATGTCAACGACATTCATTGGAATTGATGAAACAATTGGAATATTTGAAAGGTCTTTTCGCCGACACAGAAAACTTTTCCAAATACGCTCTCGAAGCGGCTGGAGTCTATGAGCGAATTGTTGTTGCATTAGCTCGAGCCGAAGAATCAGCTAAACGAGCATACGAAGCAGCTGAACGCGCTTATCATGAGCTTATCCAGGGATCGACGATTCGTTGACTAAACAAGCCCAGAAAGCGAGAGATCGAAGCATCGAATTACTTGAAGCAGCTCGAGATCTTCACGACAACCGAATTCCTAGATTACAAAGTGACCTTTCATCGAAACAATTGATACTTGGTAATCTAGCTAAAGATTTGTTATCATATCGACGAGCATTAGAACTAATTAATCGGGCACTGGATGAATTACCTCAAGATTTGCGAGAAAGAATCAAACAAATTGATCATACGTTGAGTTTCCTTCTCGAAGGACTTGGACATGTTCATTTAAGAATAGATGGAATAGAAAAGAAGATAATTGATGATCTTACTCCTCGAATTGAACGACTTAATGAAGGAACAGCTTCTGGAATCGAGAATTTCACTCGGATTGTTGATAAATCTCGAGCTGATATTCGAGAATCAAGTCGATTTATGGTGAACTCGGAAAATCTTAAAGACGATTGGATGGATTAAGAACTCGATTCGAACTTGATCTTACCGATTTGAAACATCAATCCTTTTGTCTCGTCAAAAAGCATCTTCGATAAGAGTCTCACTAGGAGCAGAAAGAGATGAGATTTGTGTGAAATCTTATCGATCACCAACTCAACCATCGGCCACGAACACAATTAGTCTTAACTACGCAATCAAAGAAGATGTTCCTAATTCGTTGATTTTGTTCATATCATCGAATACAAACTCTGATTTCATGGCATTGGAAATGATCAATAGACGAATTCGGTTTACATGGAATACAGGAAGTGGATCTAAATCATTGGAACATCCGACAATCATTGAATCCAATGACGGGAACTTGTTACGATCTCGACACTGGTACAAGATTGAAATGAACCGAGTCAACAATTTAGTGACTTTAAGTGTCCAACCATCAACAGAAGCACATAAAGGAGACACTCATGAAGTAACGGGATCATCTGACCCTAAATCATGTAAAATGGACTTGGATGGGAACGCGAACCTGTTTATCGGCGGTCTACCAGATAACTTTGAAGCACCGACCATAATGAAGACCCGACGATTCACCGGCTGTTTGTACGAAGTTTATCTAGATGATCAACGAATTGGCCTTTGGAACTTTAAAACCTCACAAGGATGTCGAGGTTGCATGGAAGGTGTGACCGAACTCATTGATCCAGGAACATTCCAGTTCAAAGGTGAAGGTTCTTATGCTACAATGGATCAGGTAAGTGATCAGTTGATTGAGATACAAATCAATTTCTACTATTAATAAGTATTAATAATAATAATTTTGATTCTCACTTTAGATCCAAAGATATGACAGAGAAAAGTATATCGTCGCTCTGCAATTCAGATCATTTGATGAAGACGCGATCATCTTTTTCTCGGGCAACCCAGACACTGGAGATTTCGTGTCCATTTCCCTTCAAGACGGGCGAGTATTGTACCAATTTAATCTTGGATCTGGATCACGATTACAACTAAGATCTCGTGAGAGATACAATAATGGACAGTGGGTTCGATTAGCTGCTGAAAGAGATCGATGGTTGGGAGTTTTATCGGTAGAAGATGAAGTTCTAGAAGGAAGTGCCCTCAAGGTCAAAGTCAATTGGATCTCAATCATGTCCCAATTTACGGTGGGTGACCCTAATTTCACTCAAGATCTTTGGACACTCAATACATTCAAACACTTCCTGGGATGTATGAAAGATGTTCAGATCGATACAACTCCTTTGAATTTACTGAGCATTGAGAATTACGGTGTAATTCCAGGTTGTAGAGATCGAACCTCTCGAATTGTCAAATTCACAGGTCAAGGTTACTTGGAATTGAATAGTCGACCTCTTGGAGAAGAGCGACTTTAGTTTCACTTTAAAACAAACCAATCGGAAACTCTACTGATTATGTCCACTTTCCAAGGAAAAACTAAAAAGGCTCGAGATTATGTAAGTATTAATTCAATGACTTTACTGTTACAATAAAATCTCATTAATTTGATTGCAATTGAAATAACAATTGTCTTCCATAAATTAGCACTACTATTCAGTGGCAGTGATCGGAGGTCTTCTTGAGGCTCGTTTCAATGGAGGTTCGGGTGAAACTTTACTTATATCAGAGGTCCGAGTGAACGATGGTGCTTTCCATACAGTCACCATATCGAAAAGGAATCGAAAGTAATTAAAATTTAACAATTGATTAACAATTAATTAGATGATTTGGTAGAAAAGAAAGAAAATAATTTAACATTTGATTGTCTCTTTTTCTTAAGAATCTCTTTGAATATGGATGATCATGAAGTGGCTGTATCTCGATTGGCCAAGGGAACCAATTCCATTGAAGGTCCAGCTAATGGTGGACTTTATCTCGGTGGACTTTCGGAAGGAATGACACTTCGAGGAATGGCTGGAACAAAGGAACGATTAATTGGTGTGATTCGTGATTTTGTCTTTAATGGAGCGATTGTTAAAATGAACGAACCAACAAATTTCAAAGGAATTGGTATTGGACGAGGTCAATAACCAATCAATATAATCAAATTAGTTAATTTTCATATATAAATAATACAAATGTTTACCTTTTTTTACATTTCTAATCAAACAAAATAATTCAAATAATTTACATTAAACTTGAGATATTAATGTAAATCAAATGGTCTAGAATCGATTCTGATGAACAAAACTTTCCCAAATTGAATTTTGTTCAGTAGATTCATCTTTTTATCGATGATCCATAATCATGATCACCTTTGGAAAATGCTTTATCCACTTTTAACAAGAGATTAATTAATCCATTATAAACTCTTGGCTGAGCGTTGAGACTGTTGATGTTTTTCAATTCGGGATCCAGAACATTACACAGGAAAGACGGAGGTCGTTTCCAGAGAAAGATGAAAAAGAATAGAGCAATTAACGGAATTGTGAGAGTAACAGCAGCAATTAAGAGTAAAATGGGCATCAGGTAACTAAATGTTTTGGAAACATCTTCATCTTTATCAGGGTGATAAGGATAACCACCCCAGCCTGATTTGAATTATCTTGTTCTTCTGATCTTCTGATTCATCTGAATCACTTCTGATCTTATAGTTAGAGGCAAACCATCCACCTCTGGCATAAAGGCACTTTGTCCCTTAGCCCTTTCAAAAAATTATTCAAAAGCGGACTTCATCTCATTTATATTGGAAAATCTCTGGCCTCGGGTGAATCTTTTTGATTTTGCGAATGCAAAGTCATCGCTTGGGGCCATGTCAAGAGAATAGGTCAGTGAATAGTGAGTGTAACCCAACCCGATTCCTTAATTTTGTCAATTGTTAGCGCTGCTTTATGTGAAAGAGCATTGTCCTGAAGGAGCAATGGCTTTTGACTGATGAACGATGGCAAGAGCGGACTAAAGGATCAATTTCTTCTAGTTGAGCTCGGTAAACATTGATTATACCGGCGCTATCCCAATAGGCGCAAGCCATCGTTTTCTTGTCTTTCATACTGAATGTCGGCTGTTTGCTGACCACCGGTCTGAAACCTACTACATGTGCTCGGTCCGAGAGAGCATCACAGAGAGAGAGGGATCTACGTCTCATACATAGCAATACCTGTGATTGTAAGGCGTTCCAACACGTACCGCTAACTTGGCACGCTAATAATTCCGCAACTAACTGTCAGGTTGTGCTAGTTGTTTCTTTATTATGATTTATTGAAGGGCGATATTTGAAAAAATTATCATCGACGATAACGATATTTAGATTTTTATCATCGATAAAATCGATTTTTCAGCGACAGAGAAAGATACCGTGATTAATGTAAGAGAAAAAGAAAAAGCTGGCAAAAAATATGAAAAATCTCATGTGTTGAAAAGAAAGACGAAAAAGAAAGAGAAACATTTATCGATATTCTTTTTTATATCGATAATATATTGACCCAAAAATATCGATTATATTTATCGATACCGATAATATCGCCCATCACTATTATGATTTCAGCATTGTGGAAAGAATTTTACTAGCGTTTTGAAAAAAAAATTTCCGGTGAAAATGTCAAAGTTTGGTATTAACTACAGAATTTTTTGGATAGAAAATATGGTTTCAAACAAAATAAATGTAAAAACAGTTCTGCGAGACTAACCGAAAGAATTTAGAACCACGATTAACCCCAGGAAACGACCATAAAAAAGTAAAATTTTTTGTATTTTTAGGTTTTTGTTCTTTAAATCTGTACATTTCAGGTGTTTTGAAAATGAAGAAGAACCGGATCGGTTGCAGATGAAATAGAGTCTATGAAACTGCAACAAAATCCTGATAATATTTCTACTTTCTCGCCATTTTTTCTTGGTAAATGTCTACGATTAAAACGAACGCGTTTCTTTCAGAGCTGCTTATGCACGATATTACTGAAGTTGGATCGGAACTTGGATTGGCATTCTTTGTTAACCAGTATCAGACAGGTAGACCGAGACGAACCTGATTGTGAATGCGACTTTGAGAAACTTTTTCTATGTTAGTAGTGAATAACTGCTCACTTAGAGCTAAAGTCCAGCAGTTTCAAGGTTTTGAATAATATTAAAAAAATAGCGAAATTTAATATTTCCAAATTAGACCCTGAAGGGTTTTGCATTAAATGTGCATTTAGAAAAATTGATAAAATCAATCTTTTTTTTTTGTTATTTATAATAATATTAATAGTTAACTAATTAATTGAGCATCATTTTGGGTTTTTTTTTGTAATTGGTTTCCCTGGTTAATTCAGTTTTTTCCACAGGAATGAGTACAAATGTACTTGATTTTTTCAATGAATTAATTTAATAATAACTATTTTCTTTTCTGAAAAAATAAGTATATAAATGCGAAAATTCAATTGGATTAATCAATCAATGTTCATCATCTGAAATGTCAACTAATTGAATTTGAAAGTTTTGTTTTAATTCAGTTATTGAAACAATTGTATCGATACTTTCATAATTTTCATCAAGTTAATCAACATTAATCTTTGAACATCAATTGATCATTGATCTAATAACTCACAGTCATCAGAATTCATTGTTAATAGTTTGAAATCTAATCAACTGAAACCTCATCAATCGAACTTCCCGAATTTCAACCGAAACTGAATTTTAATGCCTATTGCCTTGGTCGCGAAAGAACTTTTGATGAAAATAACTTTGAACTTGATTTGTCTCGGAGCCGGTGAGAAACAGATCTAGCTGTATTTTGATTTGTATTCGGATACTTAGCTGTTGATTAGAAATGAATAATGAATAATAAATAATATAATAGAAATGATTCACCAATATCTTTACTATCTTTTCTTTTCTTTTTCTTTTTTCTTCAATTTTATTTATATTGATATAATCAATTAATAATTTTTCAATGCAATAAATAATTAATTGCATCTGAGGTAAGATCCATATTATCTCTTTAACTGTTTGATTTTTAATTGCTGTCAAATGTTATCCTGTTTACACCTTTCAATCTCCATTCTTTATATTCAACAAGTTCTTTAGTAACAAGTGTCAAGAGTTGAAGTCTAAAGGTTGGACCCAAGCAAAGCGAAAGTCAATGTTCAACACTCTTCTGGTTTTCTGCTCAATTCGCCACTTACAACGATATCTTGAAGCCTTATGATCAAATCATGGGCCTTGAACTCACTGAAGGTGGACAGTAAGAGTTATATCACTCTCTTAAAATAGTTGAGGTTTTCAGTGATCATGAATATCCTCTCCATCAGTAGTAATTGTGATGTGTCGTGAAGAATGTACCTTCTGCCGGTGTATAAATGCACCGATTATGTGTGATTCAATAGGTTATTTTATTACAAAACGTAATCTAAAAATTATATTTGTACCTGACAAGAAAACCGATGACGAAGATGCTGATTATGGAGTTGAAAATGAAGATATTCTAATTGTCAAACTTAGAAAAGGTCAAGAATTACGAATTCGAGCCAATGCAAAGAAAGGTTTCGGTAAAACCATGCCAAATGGAATCCACCCAAAGTATATCATTCGAATACGATCCAGATAATGCTTTTAGACACACAACCTTCCCAATACCAGAAGAATGACCGAAAAGTGAATATTCCGAACTCGATGAAACAAAATCCGAAGCCGATTACTTACGCAATCAACATCCAACTTCAACTTAGAATCTTCTGGAGCCCTAAAGCCCGTCAACATTGTTCTAAGTGGTCTTAACGTAAAAAACTCACAGATCTACAAACCCAATTAAACCACGAAATCGAAAACGATGCTCTCGCCGTCATGTGACAATTAACTCCATCAAATCGATTCATTTTAACTTTTAATTTCGATCTCTTCTTTCAAATTTCACCTTCAAATTACTCATTAATTGTCATTGAATAGATTCAAATTCCAGATCATCTTGAATTTGTGAGACGTCCAATCAAATCTTTCTGTTCGGCCTCATCTCTAATCAACGATTGCTCCAAACTGTTCAATCTTTCCAGTTCTTGTCGTTTCTCGTTAATAAACACAATTAACTGTTGTCAATTAGATTCCTTTTGCATACCAACAGATTTAAATGAGTTACGTGATCCAAATGCCTGAATTTATACTAAACAGAAACAATCAAAGGGTTACAATTAATTCTTTCACGTTCGAATTATTAGATATTCTGTTGACAAAATTGTAAAAATGTGTTATTAAAGCCATTGGCTTTTTTATTGTATTTTATATTGTATTTTATATTGTACTTTGATGGTCAGGTTAACATGTAGGTAGAAAAGATAAATATATTACACGGAACATCTTCCGTGTATTAGGATTTGATTAAATGGGATTGATGTAAGGAAACGGACGAAACACGGAAGATGCTCCGTGTATTGGAACAATAGTCACTCGATTCGGATGAAGAATCCAACTCCTCTCCTTCCTCCTCTGATTTTCTCTTGTTACACTTTTCCTCCTCTTCCTCCTCCGTACTTGAATTATCACTTGAGGTCTCATCATCCGAGGACTCTTCGTCACTTTCGCTATCAGCGTTGTAGCCGGTGGAGTGGTCGGAATGGATTGAAGAAGCACTAATCATGGATACGTCCGAGTCCGACTGCGGGTCGACCTCCATGATGTTTAGGTTTTCGACGTCGAGTCGCTCTCTTACCAGCATTACCTCCATTTGTCTCCGCTCTTCGCGAGCATTCAGTTCGAGCTGGTCTCTCCATTGTTGATGATGTTGACGTTGTTGGTCTCGTTGTTGTCTCCGAGATCGTGGTTGTTGTTGTTGGTTGTAGTGGTGGTGGTGATCCATAATTAAACAATGTTTTTAAATGACTGAATTTACACTGAAAAGAAGACAAAAAAGCACGTTAATGTTGATTGAAAACAAGAATGAAAATGAAAAAAAAGCGAAACTAACTGGATCAATGAACCAAATGCTTATTGATGATGATAAATTAAAAAGCGGAATCTTCTCATCAAATCGTTTTGAAATAATATCAGGATCATCTTTGCTCTCAAGATAAACCATGATGTTTAAGAGGCAATGATCAGCTCCATCGATTGAAGAAACTGAGAGGATTGGAAAATTCGATAAGTATCTGAGAAGTTCCGCAAGAAGAGAAATTGAATTAATTAGTTTAATTGGTTATGTAGAATCGCTGATGAGGAAATTTAATATTTAACTTACTTTTATCTCTTCGCGAAAGAGGTCTAATTATCCTTGGGGGTGGTTTTGATCCTATGATTCTCTCATTTACACCATCGTGTCTGGCATAAAAGGATAAAAAACATCCAGAAACGGTGAAGTAAAAATAAGGTATTTCAACCCTGAAGGGGGTCCTCGGAATTGTTTGGTCAACCAGGACGTGACTTTTCACATAAATTTCGATGTTGTATGCGGTCAAGAAAATTGTGGCAAATCTACTTTTATAAAGGGGTTTGTACATGGAAAAAAAATCTGAAAAGAAAAAGTAAATTAATGATTTGCTTGATGTGAAAGGGATAAGAGGTAATACGATTCAACTTACTTTGATATGATTGATAAATTTTCGACATAATAAACAACAATTAATATACAATAACAGTGAATTAAAACAAATTGACATTGATTATTTACAATTTAAACTCTTGTTCACCACATCAGCTGACGTAAAACAGCTGATCTTAGATGATTAGCCGGGAATTTCAATTTTTTTTCTTACACGGAAACTTGTCCGTGTAATTAATTAATTTTTGATTTATTCGTTAGATCCTAGGATCCGATATCTCACCCCTTACTGTGCCAGAGTATTATGGTTTGCCCCTAATCTCATTTTCCCGGGGCTAAAAAAATGTGGAGAATAACTATATCTCCTTCAGATGACCATGAAATGCTTTCTTTCAATAATGACCTTGATCTTTTGATATGACAAATGCGTATCGCTCAAACTCATACCACTCAAGTCTCGTGTCTCTTTGACTCTTAGTTGCTGAGAAAATCGCAAAAACATCGGTAAAAATAATAGATGAATAGCCCTATATTGCAAGATATTTTCAAGGAGAGAAACTCATCCCCTGTGTTTTACTTTCTACACACCCTGTAGTGTACTTAATGATGTGAATTGCAAAATTTTTGGCACAATTCATGCTTTTTAGTTAAATTCTATTCTATTTTCAATTCGATGAGCTCAATGCTCCTGGTCCCATGGCAGTAAAGTTTCGGAGATTAACCACTATCATGGAACGATTTTCAACTTGGACCCCTGAACAACAAGATGTAGGCAGGGTCATGATAAACAGCCAACTACTCCATTTAACACGGGAATGTGTTAGGATCAGGACCAGGTCATTCAACAATTCAATGGACCAATTGTTGGAGCAGGTTACACAAATGGACAAATTGTTTAATGAAGAAGCTCAAAAAATGAGGCTCTTCATAGAGAAAATGAGCAATTAAGAGCAATGTTGCAATTAAAGGAAGGTTCTGAGGGAGATAAAGACATTTCTTTCCTCACTTGGGTGATGGAAAAGATGAAGAAAGAATTTTCTGTTAACACACAAAAGTACAAAGAAAACCCTCGTGGGCTTTAAACACATTGATTTTCATTTTAATATTCATTAAAATCCATTAATTTCGTTAAATAAAACTTTTTAAAAAATTTAAATTTCGCGCGCAAAAATTTCACAGAAAAAAAATTCAGCAAAAAATTTCACCATGAAACTGATCTGGAGTGTTAATCTGTTCCAGAGTTTCATGTGCTGGAGTGTTAGTTTTGTGCTGGAAGAGGACTTTGTAACTACTCATTTGCCATGGAAAGAATCAATCCTGAAGCTATCTAGCATAAATAGTGTTCACTAATTATCAGAAGTAGCCCAATCTCCATCAAAAAGTATGCAGCCTCTAAGAACTATTTGGTTCCAAAATTTCAATCAACTTCAAAGTTTTGGTCTACGTATCATCTCATATCTTTAGTCATTTCTTCTCATCATTATTCTGCACGCAATTGACGTAACTAATTAAATTTTTCGATTAAAATATCGAATAATTAATCAATAGCAATCATCTTCATTAATCTTTGAAATTATTTTCTGAATAGTTAAACTTCAGAAATTGTAATAGTCTCTTATCATAAGAATTAGAGATAACATATCTCAAAAATAGGATAGCTTTCCGACAATATTCTACTAATTTTTAAGACTTTAAACCATCCTAAATGAGAAAATTAAAACACAGTGAAAGAGTTTATAGTTTTAAACATGGAACAGCCAACTTATTTGTTAATTATAATCCTTCAAAATCCCGTTCTATAATTTCTAATTTTATTGGAATACTTGATCGTTACTCCGAGCCAAATAATTTAGTTGAGTTGTTTAATAATCTTGAAAGGTTAAGTATCTCAGCTTGGATATGTGTTAATGGATACGAACAGAATAATCTTCAAAATCGCAGTAAAATGTTGATAAACTTTTACTTGTGTCTATCTTGTTACCTGATGTCATTGAGATACCTGATTCTAGCATTTATCACTGATGAAACCATAAGAATAATTTTAGGTGATACGTTTATTGGATATTCAGCTCATTCCCTGCTCAATGTTATCTTTTTTGGTGCAACTTTCCTGTTGTCAAGCATTAAAACTGCTTTAGCATATTCAGAGTTTATTTCTCAGATGAAAATACTAAAAGTATTCAGTCAATTGAGAAAATGCTCTTTCAAAAGATCAATTTATGGACTAACCAGAAAGAATGACCTTAAGTTTCGTAGAGTAACATGTCTTGCTGGTCATAGTTTGGATGGTTTCATTTTAATTGCATGCGGATCGTGTTTGGCCTTACAAGCTTTGGCCATTGTACTGAATCCAATATTTTCCCTTAGAACTTTAATTTTTCAAGTTCTCTGGTTACCTTTTGTTAATGCTTGTTACTATTTTGCTGGACTTGCCGCCTACTGGTTCTTTGTGCACACAATAATATTCATATCGCTTTCAATTCAATCAACCAGTTCAGTTATTATAAGAGTTAATCGTTTGATTGAAGGGCGTTTGCCTCTTGAACGTTCAGTAAAAGATGAAATTTACCATTTAAACCAATTACAAAATTCACATTACAATACAATCGATATTCTTAACATCAGTTTCGGCTTATCAGTTTTTATAAGTTTCTTCTTTGGTTCCTTTTTTGCCGACCTTGCTTTTTTCTGTGGCACTTACATTGGAACAAAAAATTTCTTTATCGATCTATTGATGTCATTTATTGGATTTATTACCTTAGGAACTATTACTGAATACAATTTCTTTGCTTCCGGATCATTCAAACAGGTAACGTAATCTAATAGTAAGCAGTGTCATTGTCGAGTAATTTAATCTCGTCTTTTTACTAGTAGATAAAAAATTTCCGAAAAACCATTTTTCGAATGTGTTTTAACATTTCACTCGATCTTCGGACTCGAATTAAGGTGAATATCAACTCTGAAGTTAAGAGCTAGTCTCTTATGTATATTTTGATATTCATTCTATGAAATAGATTCTGGCGACACTCGATCGAATGGTGGCTTATCGAATCGGATTCTATGTTGGAAACATTTTCTGCATGGATGAACGTACTTGTCTTCTAGTGAGTCGAAGTTTATTATTGCGAGTCCCATATAATGATAAATAAAGAATGTCCATTAATTATCCAATAATTTGAATATTCGAAACCTTTGCTTCTGAATCAACTAAATTTTGATGATACTAATGGTTATTATCCATTTTATTTAGTTTCTACTGGAAAACTTAAGTTTATACCTACTATTGATCGCTAACATCTCTCAATCTTGATATGGAAAATCAATTCATCTATTATTAAATCTGATGGTAAAAATAATCGTTAATTTGGTTGATCAATGAATCCAAAACCAATTCTGTTGGAAGTTAATTCTTCTCTAAAATACTCTGTATATTTAGAATCAGAAAGAATAAACTTGAACCAAACTTTGTATTAGATGAAAAATTCAACCACCAGATAACATCACCAACATCGAATGAAATTCACTCCAAATGCTGTATAATAAGTTCACGGTGAAAAAGATTTACTCTTACAAGTAAAAGTATCTACTCAATGAATTTACGGATTCGATGTTGCAAAAATACAGTTCAACTTGATTAGATAAACTCTGAAAATCGAGCAACTGTCCAGTATAAACTGTGAGATCATTTCCGTTTTATAGACGATGCAAGAGATTCAAAGAGATGGATATCGGAAAGAAAAAAACTCATCAACTTCATCTTATCAAGATTAATGGAATGAAAAAAATTGTTCGATTAAAGATTATGATGATTATCATGATGATGGGAGTAGAAAAGGGATAAGAGGTAAGAACAGGGGATAAGAATCAAACTCATGTAGCTTCATCATCTTATTACCAATGAAAAGAAATGGCCAAGGATAAAACATTTGTAGCGAAAAAAATAAGTTTTCATCAACAATATTGACCATTAGCTCTTGATTCCAATAAGTTATTATCATTTTATATCATAAAACCACATCACTAACCTTTAATTTCACCTTTTATCTTGAGTTTGGTAAAGTATATAATTTATCTAGCATTCTGATTGTTTCCTATTCTCTAATAAGTTGAACAATAAATGATTAAAGGCAATTATTGAAAATCATCAGGGATCTAAAGTTTTAAAAATAAAACGATAATAAACTGAATTTAGTGCTGAAAAGTGTATTATGATAGCAATAGGATTAGCTGTGAGAGTATCGATAATAATAGTGAAGAGAAATTTATCCCACAAGAAAAAAAAATGAAATTCTACTGATTAAAGTTCAGCAACAAGTTCAACAATTAAGTTGATATTAATTTCCATCAAATAATCGAGCTGATTGTTATCTATGATCCATCAGAATTCAATTGATTCAATTGGAATGAGGTTAAAAGTAGACAAACGATTTAATGATCTTTGGATGTGCTTTCATATTTATTAACAGAAATCATCCCAATGTATTGAAATGATTATAATGATAATGAACAATTGAATGAATTCCAGAATTCTCATGATGAAATAATATGATTATCATGAAAAAAGAAGAAAAAAATTATTATTTTTTTGGAAGTCGAAAAGGGAGACAATGGAAATGGGAATAAGAAGATGGCAAATAGAAAATGATGAGAAGAGAAAAATAGAAAACTGAAAACAAGATAAAGAGAGAATAATAATAATCAGCTGATGATGATGATGATGATGAAAAAAATGGATTGAAAAGAATGTTGGATAAATGATTTTCTGAGTGATGATATTTCATCTTTCATCTAATCATCTTTTTCTTCTTGATTCTCATGGAGAGAAGAAATAACATTTCTGAATTCATGATGAAAATCCTGAAAATTGAGTCTAAATGCTCAAGTGTCTTTGGTATAAACGCAATTCTGGCACATTGAGATTCACATTGGAACTCTTGTTCATCCCATTTACTAACCAATTCCCCCTGACATGAAGCCTAAAATCACAATCAATCTTTTCACTCTTAATCGTCTTTTTTTTTCATCATCAACCAAAAACAACAACCAAACTCATGGTGAGCCTGAGATGATGATGATATTGTTGTTGTCTATTCTTGGTTCAATTCAATGTCACCATGACTATCAATTACTGACTTCTCAACTCTAACAATTTAACATCATGTCCATGATTTATATATAACTAAACCATGAATTTAACAACAACAATTGTATTGTTTACATTAAAAATACATTGGTATAAATATCGTTCTCAATTAAGTTTCATGGTAAACAAAACGTTAAATATACATAAACATGTAATTGTAAATGCATTTATGATTCGCACAATTGAAACTGATGATTAAAAATTCATGGAAACGAATGTTAATCCAGTTAACAAATGAATTAGTCATGGTAAAAGTGATAAATCTTTCTTTCTGGAGACTTTGAGAAAAACAAAGATACTCTAAGCTGCTGGTGAAAAGTTATTTTCTTTCAGACAAATTACGATAATCAACCAATCAAGAATATGATTATCTACCATATTGGTTTAGATTATCGGTTCATTTATCACCTAAACTTATCACCCTGAAGGTGTCACAATTTTGATTGATATGAAATGCTAATAATAATAGTTTATAGTCGATGAGTACTAATCTCAAATCATAATACATGTTAGTATTATGTTAATCAACTGTGAACATCGTTGGGAGTAATTGAAGTTGATGTTTGATATTATGTATAAGAAAATATATTCATTCAAATGATGTAGTGAAAATGAAGTGAAAATCCGTTTGGATTAGAATGAGTTTTCCTATATATATTATGATAGTATATCTTTTCCATGGTCAGTAAGATGAAATGTAGCTTATTCCAAGTGAGAAGACTGGTCAGCAGAAAAAAATAGAGAGAGAAAAAAAGATAAAGCTAAGGATGATTGATGTTTGGATAATTTTTTTTCCTTCCAACCTTATCCTTTGTAAACCATGGTAGTTATTATGGTTATTATTTGACCAATGGTCAGTTGCAGGAAAAGAGAAAGAGAGAGAGAGAGGTCACAATAAGAAAAGAAAAGACATTCACATCTTGAAAGATTTTACATGTTACTTTGGTGACATTGGACTATTTCTCAGGTTAATGGTGAAATGGTCTGTTGATCAGTTTCAAAAGATTCAGATAAATTCATTGATATTGTGAATAGAAGATAGAGAAAAATACTTTTCAAATTCTGTAAGAACAAAGAAACAAAAAAAACTTTCTTTTCTTTTCTTTGATTAATATCTAAATTCAATTGGCTATTTTTGGCCATCTTGACCACTCTTATTATTACTCTTAAACATGAATATACAATTTTTACTCTGATTTCATGAACATGAGCTTGATGAAGCAAACAAATAGAAAGAAAAAGTCAATTCAATCAGAATTTAGTTATTTTTTTCTCTCTCGATTCTCTTTCATGATTAGATTTGTTATCTAAGAAACCGTTTCTCTTAACAAAAATATATTCCACCAAATCTGATTATGTGCATGATAATTTATTATCAGCATAATGAGCAGAATATCAGATTTACCTTGAACAAAATTGTAATACGATTAGTGGGCCAAGTGAAAAGGAAGTTACATCATCATTCAGACTTCGATGAGGTTATCGGGATGATTTTTTTCGCTATCATTATCATTGTTATGTATTCTTTTGTTTTCAAAGAGAAAAAAGATAGAGTAAAGAAAAACATAGATTATATTCTGTATCTTATTCTGTTCATCTTTTTGTATCCAAACAAGAAAGAAAGAAAGAGAGAGAGAGAGAGAGAGAGAGAGAGAGAGAGAGAGAGAGTAACATTCGAGACGATAAATTGATAATAGAAAAGGGAATTATCATCATTCTAGAAACTAATATCTCAACAATACGAACCATGATAATAGTAATCATTTTCAGAATTGTTCCAATGCTGAATTCACCCTGAGAAAAGGAGAAGGAAAAAAAGCTAAAATTGACCATTTACTTTGATCTCTTTCGCATTTTTGTAATTGATGTTATTTGTTTTCACTAGATTATAATAATAAACCATAGAACTCACAATAAACTCTGTCTTATTTTCTAATCATTTGTTGACCAACCTTAAGATGACCTTATGTTTGGTCCAGTGAGTTTAATCTTAATCTGATAATTTTACTACAAAATCACTATCAATTTCGTTCCATCTTCTAATATCTTCTTTCATATCCTTCAAGAGCTTATCTCTTATTCAGCGTTGAAAAGCTTAACCAACATAATTTAGCTAATGAGAACTCAATAAACTAAAGGAGAGAACTTTTTTCTAATATTCTTTTCCTAAGTTATTATTTAAACTAAGCTAAAGCTTATTTCTATTATCAATAGTAAATGTTACTTGTTATTACAAGAATTGAAACATTTACTCAAAAGTTCTCATTATTTTCAATTGCATATCCTCTTCCTCTTTGTAACTATTAATGTCATGAAAATTTCTCAATCTTTAAGATGAGTCTCTCAATGTAATAGCAAAAGAAAATTGAAATTTCTGAAAATTTTGTTTCTTTGCCTCTTAAAAAATATTTCAACCATTAAAGTGCTAAAATTATCTAAAGTTAATAGTAGATAATTTAAATGAGATCTAATCTAAGTTAAAGCCTGGAGCTTTAATTTACTCTAGAAAAAAGTTATCCAACTTTAATCGTGATGAAAAATTGATCTTCACGATCCTTAATTAGTTAGATTATGATATCGAACCTACTAATTTACATTTGCCTTTTAACAAGTAATTTAAATTGTATCAAGGTTAAGAACAATTTGTCTCATTCATTTGATTAATCAGTCTGTATGTTTATTACATTGAGATTTAAGATGCACTAATTGTTATCTGTTAAACATGTTGATAGACAATCAATTGAATGTGCATCAATGGTTATCTCTTTAAACAATCAAAGTGGTTAATTGATTTGACTAGAGGTCAGTGAAAAGAGAAAGTGTTCAAATCAATTAATTAGACTGATTAGTTTGGACAATGGTTATTTCAGATTCAATATAATATATTAGCCTTTTATCTGGTCAATTGGTTTTCTTAGGATATTGGTCAAGCCTTTTAATTATATTGCTTAGTATTGTTGTTGTTGTTGTAATAATTTAGGCGATTAACTTTTGGTGTGCAAGAGCTAAAAGTAAAGATTATTAGTACTCGTGATACAACAGAGTCTTTGCCACACCCTTGTTAATCCAAATATTAATGAGAAAAAGTTGAATTGAAAATGAATTTCAATTCTGTGAATCTTTTCATATGATTTCCCATGAATGGGATAAGGTTTCAGCTGGAAAATAAACTGGGACGGATAATAAATGAAAGTTACTTTTGTCAACTATTGTTTCAAAGCTCGAAGGTAAATGAATCAATGAATTAACTGATTAATTCTCAATTTAAATATCAATTGCATTTAAAAAAAACAGAGAAAAAGAATTGACAAAAAAAAAGAAATAATAAAAAAAAAGTCGACATTTGTTTATTCAAATTCTAAGGGAATGAGATATGAGATCAATGATTATTCAGGATATAAAGTAGAAGGTGGAGTTTGAGAGTAGAAAAGTAATTCAATACTTTGTCTCTTA